GTGGCTGACAGCTGGCCAGAGGCAAGAGGAAGGGCTGTCAGAAGGGATTGTGCTGACTCAACTCTGACAGCCCACTAAGCACTTACTTGGAGTAGCTGAGCACGGTATGAATGCTAGTATGCCTCCCTGAAAGGCAGGCTTAGCAGGAGGTTGCAAAAGAGCTTGGGATGCTGGTAGATAGCAACCTAATGTGAATTGATAGGGGATCTGGTATAGAAACTTGATTCACTGGTCTACTAAATCAATTGAAGTTTGAGTTTATGGTGATCCAGGTCTATCTTAGACTGGGTTCTGCCATTTTTAAACCAGTCTACATGTACCAAACTTATGTTCTGTTATGGGTATAGATTAATTTTTGTTTTTTTCTGTGGGTTTTTTTCAGTCACTTGCACAGGTAAAAGTGTAATGTCTATACCTGACCCCAAGAAGAGGGAATGCAGAAGACTCACTGTTGTGCAAAGAGTTCAGCACTAATGAAGCCAGCTCCACTTCAGTCTTATTATGAGACACTGCTATGAGGCAGATGCCCAGTGTGTGCTCAACCCTGCTGTTTGGTGTCATGTTGGAGAGTAGAGTTGCAGGTGCTCTGTTTCCTACCTTGGGAAGGAGTAGAGACACTGCTTACAAACACATAGTCCATTACTGGTGAGGGAACAAGTGTTGTTTTTGAGTCTGCAGCTCTTTGGCATCCGCTGTGACTGATACCACTGTGGCTGAAGTACTAACTTGAGTGGGATTGAGAGAAAAGGCAAGAGCTAACTGGGTATTGTTTGACCTTGTCTCTGTTTCCTTGACTTGGAGAAGAATATTTTGGTCATGTTGGCAGGCAGATGGGAAGGACCTAGGATGCTTACTTATACAAATCTCTTGCAGTGAGCATGATCAGCTCAGCGGTGACTGACAACAGTAGCAAACCTCTGGACACCACTTTCCAGGAAGTCAACGGAGGCCAGCTTGGACCTTACAAGGCAGCAGTGTTAAATGTGCCTGACTGTGCATCGCCTCCCAAGCTAGCCGATATTAGAAATGTCAAAAAAGCTTCTGATGTCCTGAAACAGTACCTCTTCAGAGTGGGAGATGATGTCTCTTGTTTGTATGATCCAAACTTCCTAGGTGTCTGTAACCCACCTCTGGCTTCGGGTACCACCTACAGGTATGATCTCTGGGTACATGCAGATGTTTGCTGCATCCAACTGACTATCACATGGCTTGCTTCAAGCCATAGATCGATGGCAAACATGCACAAGCTGCAAATGTCAGGAGCCCCACCAGGAACTCGAATTAGAGGGAGCATCAGGGGGGCTAGCAGGTCCAGGAGGCTTGCCTATCCAGGGGTGGGAGGGGTCTAAAAGTGGACTGGTCAGTGGTAGGGAAGGGGAATAAGAAGAGCACAGTCCTAGGCTTTGGGAGAGTAGCTGGGCTTTTCCAGCTCCGGGGCTGCACTCCAAAAGTGTGCAGACATTCAGCAGATTGAGCTAACCTGTTCCTCGTCTAATTTAGCTCACCTTCTTAAGTGAACTAATTCTAGATATAGGCTGGCTTTGCTTTATTTTTATTTGCCTTATTTTAACCTCCCTGAACCTATGCACAGATAGGCACTTAGATGTACCTACTAGAGTTAGGTTGATCTACATGTGCATATTAATGCAAAGCAATAAACTCCAGCACATATCTGACCAGAGTTTATTGCTCCTGGGTGCCCTGTTTACATGTGTGGTTGGGACTGCAGAATGTTGAGCTAGGTCAGAGCAGCCCTGACTGGTAGGGGGCTGTTTTGGGGGGGGAGGTTAGCCTGGTGCTGCTCTGACCTGGCGTAACATGCTGCAGAGAGAGGCTGGCAGGGGCATGAGGGTGCTTCAGTACAAGGCTAGCATGCAGGCAGCTCTGGCACTGAAGCACCTTCATGCCCCACGCAGCCAGGTCAACATCTACACATGTTGTTGCACACACAAAACCCCCAAAACCTAAACTCTGCAGCAGGATATTTATTTTTACAAGTACTAACCTGCTGCAGAGTTTCCTGAGGCCTAATAAGGCCACACATGCAGACACCAAAACATTTTACTGTGGAGCTAATTGTGCAACTCCATAGTAAACGTCTCATGTAGAGTCGCCCAGTTTGGTCCACCTAAAATAGAAGGTACTTGCAGACATTACATTGGCAGGTGGCATAGTAATACTCAGTGCCAGCACTAATTTAGTACATCAGTCCAGCTAATACTACACAAATACAACAACTTAGCACTGCTTACCACTTTTCAGTTTAAAACAGCTGCACTTGTCTGTTCTAGCAGGGGGTGTCTTGACTGGTGCTGATCAGAACTTTCCACTAAAGGAGACCTTTGACAAAATGCAGGAAAAGTTTTCTCTCTGCCTGGATTCCTGTTAGGTCCCTGGATAGATGGCTAGCGTTCACTGTAGTTCTTGAGCACTCTACACTTGCTGTGGAGTGTAGTTTGCTTCTGAAACAAAACCCCACATTTCTGCAAGAACTCCTTGTATGGGCTCTTCCCCTCTTTAGAGGAAAAAATCTGAAAAAGCCTTGTAGAATAACAACTTTTTTTCACCATTTAATGCTCTCTCTACACTTCTCTTTAACAGAAGAGCTAGGTTTTAATAGGCTATCCAGACCCCCTTCTCAAACATGTCTGGAGTAATGGATGACGTTTGACGAACTGCCTCTGTGTGCATGTGTGTTGTCAGGCTTTTTTAAATTGATTATTCAATCTGGTTATCTCCAAAATATTAAAATATAAAGGCTTTGCTAGACATGCTAACAAACTTAGCCTTTCTTATCTCTTTTTCGAGGTTTAAATACATCTTGGTAGATGTGACTTTGGGTATCATGAAAGATGAAACTCTCTGGTCTGATCCAATCAAAACCAATAGTGGTAAGTCTCCCTAAGGGTTTCTGCTTCCATTTGGGGAGGAAACTTGCGTTAGCATCCTCTTGGTTTAATAGTCTAAAAAGTCCTTGGAACAAAAAATTTTAGTGGTACAGAATGCTTTGAAGCTAGTAAGAGGAACTCCCTTCCTCCCCAGACCCTGAAAACAAAAACATCAGTCATAGCAAAGATATAATGGCTAGAAGTCAGGAGATCTGGCTCCTATTTCTTCCTTTTTGTTCAGTAGCTAATAATAGCCAAATCACTTCATACGTGGTTTTTAATGTATGGTTAGGTATAATACCAATGTTGCAGAGCTAAACTTAAACTTATCTACTGAGTACTTTGATCTGAAGTGTTCAAGTGCCAAGTAGCAAAGCATACAGTATTTTGAATTACTATGACTTGTCTGTGAAGTAAGGTGACTTCCAGGGTTTGTCCGTACGGTGGAAGCATTCTCTGCCGCCTCACTCGCGCAAGCAATTCTCAAGCACAGAAATGTGCTAATAAAGATACTCTGAAGTAGCTCTCAAAATAATCTGGAGATGACACTATCAAGGCTTCCCTAGTTGTATATCGCCTGCAGCTCCTAGCCTCTTGCTGGGAGGTCACAAATGGAGTAATAGTGTTTCCATTGATCTCTCTCCTAGTTAAAAAGTCTTCAACAATTGATACCTGGCCTGGTCGAAGGAGTGGAGGGATGATTGTCATAACCTCAATCCTGAGCGTCCTTATCTTTCTCCTCCTTGCAGGACTTTTTGCCTCTGTATTCTTTGCTATCATGTAAGTTATCACTATGCTTGCAGCCTGGGAACATTAAATGAACAACCAAGTGCCTGAGCCTTTGAAGTAACCAGCATTTGTGAATGTCTTAAGATGAGAGCACAGTTTTTTGCATCATGCTAGTGAGCAGGTGCTATTGGGGTTGTCCAAACTGGGACACTACTTTCAATACCCTTCTGTTTTGGAATTTGACCCTCCCTCCAGATGGGGAAATCCTACTTATGATAATGGATAGTCTGAGGAAGCTAGTGCAAATCTCTCCTATATACTTTGTCACTTCTAAAACCTTCTGGGAAGGTCCTAAAGCAGCTGCATCTCTTATGGAGTAAATGCCACTTCACACAATTGTGTGTGCCTGGACACTGGCAGGGGTGGAAATGGGGTGGGGGGGAAGGGGAATGGAGGGTGTAGTGGTTCACTTGCACCCTGCCCTCCCTGACCCCTCCACCCCCTTCTGATTCCTGGTCCATCCAAAGCTAAAATCCAACTGCCTAGCAGTGACGGCAGCACTTCTACTGAAGCACCAGTGAGAGAATCAGTTGACTTAATGGCTCATTCTAATTTGCTTGACTCCTTCTAAACCAGGGCAGGGAAAATGGTGGATCCAGCCTGTGGCTGGACTCCACTTCCCAGCAGCCCCAGTGGTGATGGCTCCTGACTGCTGCTACATTCAGCCCCACTGGCTGGCCAGTTGGCCCCACACTCACCTCTGGGGGTGGGACTGGTGTGGGGAGCACATGTGACCAGGTGGCTGGGATGGGGCTGCAGCCAAGAGCGAGATGGGTGGACTGGGTTGAGGAGCCCTCTTGACTTTGGGGTGGTGACAGCGTGGTGCTGGGGCTGGGGAAAGCCATGATCCGTTGCTTATGTACCCCAGCGATGAACATGGGTTCTGCATGCAGGGAGCAGATTGGGGCTCTGCCTGAGCCCCCTTCTGTCAGCCCCTCAAGATCCTGGCCCTGGCTGTACCTTCCTGCCTGGCCATGCACCCTGACTGCATAGCTTCTGGCTGGTTTCCATGGAGACCCTGGGATCTTGGGGTGGTAACAGTGCAAGGATGGGGCAGAACCACGATGCACTCCTCACGCACAACTGGGATTCTGTCATGGCCTTGCACTGTCATGGCCCCACAATCCTCGGATCTCCATGGACATGGGCAGGGAATGCAGCTGGGGAGGAAGCTGTGGCCAGGGTCTGGATCCTGGGATGCTGACAGCACAGGGCCAGGGCAGAACTCCAGTTGGCTCCCTGAGTGCCCCTGCCTAGGGAACCCGCACCTGTTGCAAGAGCATGCAGGCAGCAGATCATGGCTCTAGCCTGGACCTGTGTTGTCACCACCCCTAGACTCCAGGGTCTCCTCAGTGCTGTCCACCTGTCTTGCTCCCAACTGTGGTCCCATCCCACCTGCCTGGCTGCATGCCCTGCCTGTGCAAATACCACCCCCCGTGGTGGGTGCAGGGTGGATTGGTCAGGTTACCTGGGCAGTGAGGTTGGGTCTGGTAGCGGCAGCCAGAAGGAGCTGCTGCTGCTAGGAAATGGAGTCCACCATGGGCCAAGTCTGGCCTGCAGACCACAGTTTGCTGACCTTGTTTTAAACTGTTCACTCCACAGGTGCTAGCAACTCTCTTTTCTTTTACACTGTCTTTTAATGGTTCCATTATTCCAGCTATCTCTATTAGG